CTTGTATCTGCTCAATCTGAGCACGCGCGAATGGACGCGGGTGAGACACAGCCCAGACAATCCCGATGCTGGGCCTGTTGGCAGATATGGTCATACCGTCGCCATCGTCGGCTCTCGTTTCTTCGTCTTTGGAGGTCAAGTGGACGGATCATTCATGAATGATCTCTGGGCCTTTGATCTAAACAGCTTGAAGAGCACGCCGTCGTGGGAACTCATCAGGCCGACTGGCGGCAACCTTCCGCCTCGCAGAACTGGACACGCAAGCGTGACACACAAGGACAGGATCTACATCTTTGGCGGTACAGACGGGCAGTATCATTACAACGATACGTGGGCGTACGACATCACCACCAACACGTGGGAGGAGCTTTCGTGCATCGGCTACATTCCGGTACCTCGTGAGGGTCACGCTACTTGTCTGGTCGACGATGTGATGTACATCTTTGGTGGACGAGGAGTCGACGGGCGCGATCTCGGAGACCTTGCAAGTTTCAAGATTTCAAGTGAGTATAAGGCTGGGAGCAAAGTCCGTACAAAACTTGCGCTCATAACAGCCGCTCCTGCTTTGCGATAGATCAACGCTGGTATATGTTTGCGAACATGGGACCTTCTCCCAGCGGCCGCTCCGGCCACGTGCTTACGACCTATCAGAACAAGGTCGTCGTCCTCGGAGGCGAGTCGTTTGCGGGGGGCAAGCCGGACGATCCTGCTATCGTGTACGTACTAGACACTGTCAAGATCAAGTATCCAGCGGACAACAAGGGAGCAAGCACTCAGCAAGGTTCCCGCAAGATAGGTTCGGGCGGTGCTGCGACTGGCGTGCCGGGCCAAGCTGGAGCAGGTGCCAGTCAGGGTCCAGTCATAGATCCAACGCGAGCTGCTTCTCCACCTGTACAGGACCCACGGCGAGCAGCTTCACCCACGCAGGGTATCAGGCCAGCTCAACCCCCAAACGGCCTATTGACAATGATGCAGCAAGGCGCTGCGAGCCCGGAACAAGCTGTGGCTGCGCGCGCAGCTCCTAGACCGCCAGGGGCTCAGCCCGGGCAGATTGAACCTCCCGTCCGAGCAATGTCGCCTACGCAGCAGGCCGTGCGAGACCAACGAGCGGCAGCTCTACAGACTGGTGGCGCTCCTGGTCAACCGCCACCATCCATCACGGCTGTGCAGCAACAAGCAGACAACCTGTCTGGTCCTGGTTCTTCCTCTGGTCATGCGCAAGGCGCATACAACGGAGCCAGGTCGCAGCGATCGATGGAGAATCTCCGAGGACAAGCAGCTTCTCCATCCTCTGTGGGTATCTCTGCACGTGGATTGAATGGCATGCAC